GAGACTTGAGGGAAGTGTGGTGAAAGTCTATGGGCTATGGCATGGCAAGCGCATGTCTCGAGGCAGTGATTCAGCATATTTGTTCGTTGCTGCAGTATGCTAATCTCGACAAAAATTCAAATGAAGTGCCTACTCCGGCCGGCTAGCTACATATGCACAGCATATTCAGGGCTTGGTCCAGGACTTGCAATCTTCCCGTCATGGATCAGCACATACAAGCATGGCTCGGCTGAGGAATCAGGGTGACTTTCAAGGTCTGATAACTCACGAATCACCAGGATTAAAAACTGAACAATGCTTATGCTGTGTGTCACTGGAAATTTAAGGATCTCTGCCTTCCAGAAATATATAGCCTGCACTACTCCTCCTAACAGGGCACATTATTTAGGGCTGCAACATTCTGGCCATAGACTTCTTTCCTTTGCCATTTTCACAGCTTCCGCAGGATCACAGTCGCTGGAAAAGAGCAGCCTATTACAAATAGGTCTGGAATGATGTCGAAATATACACCACGAGAGCAACAGCAATACAGAAAAATAAATAGGAAAACAAGAGTACCTTCAGATATGCCTGAAGATAAAAGAATTGGGCCCTCTTAAAATAAAGAGACCACCATTTTGCACAAAACCAGACTATTAGATATGAGGAGGCCAAGATAAACCTGCAACTATGTGTGGTCACAGAACATAAAACAACATGGGACCTGTAGTTTCATTATATTCTTCCAGGTTTTTCATGTCTAAACAGCTGCTGAGGCTGTGATTTCATGTGACAGATATGTGTGTGTGTGTGTGTGTGTGCAAGTGAGAGTGTGAGTGTGACAGTAACTCTTTCCTATCACATATTGCTGCCTTCACCCTTGCAATGGAAAAGATATGCATACACACCATACATCTAAAGCACATGACTTCCCCCAAAGAATCACGGGAAATATAGTTTGTTAATGATGCTGGGAATTGTAGCTCTGTGAGAAGTGAACTACAGTTCCCAGAATTCTTGGGGGAACGTTATGTGCTTTAAATGTACAGTGTGTACACAGCCATAGATACCCATGTGCTTTTTGTGGGTAAAGGCAATTAGAGGTGATGAGTTTTAGCAGAAAAGCAGCATGAGGGAAATGGGGTAATGACCCTCCCATACACACCAAATTAGTCTTTCACCTCACATGTTTTATACCCCCTTTCATGATCTCCCCTTGCTCGACTTTCCTCAAAATTATAAGGGCCTAAATGATGTAACAGTTCCTCATAGGGCAGTTGCTCCAGTCCCTTGATTATTTTGGCTGCCCTTTTCTAAATTATCCAGCTCTATTATATCCTTTCTGAGGTGAGGAAATAAATCCCCAAACATTTCCACCTGACCCTTGGGACTTTCCCAAGGCCCCTCTTTCCCTAATCACACCTCCTCTCCCCTTATTGGCCTAGCAGCCTTCATAGGGGGGTCACTCTAGAGACCAGAGCATTTCAGTTGCTTTCACACTGCACGTTTCCTGGAAGTACAATATCCTTTTTGAGATGCAGCACCACACTTTCCTATATGATCTATGAAAAGCACAAGGCCAAAGCGTGCCACTGTTTGGTTAAGTGCCTCACCATGGTGCCTGCATATGGAAGCAGGGAGTAAGGGAGAAATTAAACGCATCGAATCTGTGTATTGTTTTAATCGGAACACCCCACAGCACAACAACTGGAGAATCAGCTTCTCCAAGCTGTGTCCTTAAAAGTGTTACTTAGGGCTCATCCATACTTCTGCTTGGTTCATGACTTCTAGGCACGGGTCTCTGAGAGGTCTTGTTTTTGTTTTGTCAGTTTCCCCAGAAAACCCACTCTTTACTGCTGAATAGGTGCAAATGTCAATCGGGTTATCTGCAGATTGCCCAGTGGTATTTTTCTAGAAAATGGGTGCTGGAACTCATAGGTGGAGCTACGTAGCTGCTCCGGCACCCGGTGGGGCTAGCTGCCCACGGGGGCACGACGCCACAAGGATCCCAGGGGGTGTGTTGCATCGCACGTCGGGGTGTGTGTGCCGCGAGCAGCGTGTGTCCCGGGGGGTGCCGCCAGCCGCCAGTGGCCAGGTGTGTGTGCCGCAAACATTGAGCATCCGGGTTGTGTATGCCGTGAGCGTCGAGCATCCCGGGGGTGGCGCGGAGATGTCATCCCCCTCAGTGATGACACCCAGGGCAGACCGCACCCACCGCACCCACCTGTCTCTGTCACTGCTGGAACTCAAAATGAACACCTCCCTTGTTCTCTTATGGTGTTCACCTGAGAGGTGCCGAAACTGAGTTCCAGTTGAGGAAAAAGCCCTAGGATTCATGTTTGTTCCAATTCAGCAAGGAAAGCAGTGGGAAAATCTCTCACACTGGTGCCTGGAATCACAGACCAAACAGAAGAAATGGCAAAACAAAGTGTGAATGAGCCCTTAATGTGTAGCTGATTGTGTACCATGCAAGCAGACTGTTCCTCCAATTCATAGTAATCGTAGGTTACCACTGTGTGGGTTACAATCATTACATGCTAGTAGACAGTTAGGATATTCATTAGAAAGAGACTTCTTATCAATCCTTGTTTTGTTGGGGCGGTATTTGCATTAACAGCTGCTAATGTGCATTTTGCCCCAAGTGAAGCAAACTGCATGTTAAAATATGTTCATAGGAATTCAGCCTTGGAGATCTATTAATCTGCTTGAGCAGCCTCAGCCAGCAATAAATCCTAGATCAGCCAAGTCTACCTATTTAGGCGGCAAACTGTACTCTATTATACTTTATAATTCATGCTCTTAGTATGGATTTTGAATTTTGTCTACTGCCTTTGCTTCAGATGGTTCTGCAAAGTATATATTTCTTCAGTTCTTCCTCACCACATTTGAAGATGAGATAAAAACTTTCCGCAAAACCTGGGCACCTAGATCAAACCAGTTGTATCAGGCCAGAAAGCACCCTTTCAAGAGTCAGGCTGTCAATACTGGAGCTGCTTTCAAGAGTTTGGTTTTCATGCTGGTTAATGCAAGTTTTATGAGACCTAAACTGCTATATAAAACCACAATCCCTTCATTCCTTATTAGGTCTTCATTTTGAAGAGGTAAAATGGAAATTCTAGATATGAGTTTCATTTCTGTAATTAAGTCATAAAGGCACACAAAAATATGCTTAGGCATCCAAAGGTGAAATGGATATAACAATGTAGATGACTGACAGTGCAATCCTATACATGTGTATTCAGAAGGAAATCCCATAAACTTCAATGGGGCTTACCCTCATGTACATAGGTACAATCTAAGCTATTGCTTTTCTCACTAGTTAGAGGACTGGGAAAAGAGAAAGGAACACAGTCCAAGTATCATTTTATAGAACATGATGAGGACAACCCAAGGACATAATGACGTGGGACAAATAAAACCTTAGGCTTGATCTGAAACTGAGGGGCACACCTCCATATAATTGGTGCTCTAGAATATGAGACCCTCTGCTGGGTTTCAAAGCATAGAGAATCAGGGATCTAATAGGATTTCACAAAAAGAATTAACAAGACTTCTATGCCAAAAACTTCAACCATCGTTTATAATTAAAAGAAGCCCGAACCCTTTAGCTCCCAAGAACCATAAATATCTTATATGGCAAGACGAACTCAATCACATCACCCCATCCCATTGACTCTTTCAGCTCCTCTCATCTCCACAAATGTCTACTATGGGCACAAAAAGTCCTCTAGATTGGTGCCAGGGGTTGTGTGTGGGGTTTTTTTGGTGAGTGTTATTGACCCAATAATAATGCATTAGTGGTAGATTTATACTGGAACATCCAGACGTTATTCCACGTTATTAGTTCTGCAGTGCTTCCCGAATATTGCTGCAGTACTGCCATGGTTGGAGGGATGCTTTTATGCTGTAGCACAGCATAAATGGGACCCACACATCCCATAATATTTGCGGTATGAAAAGTTATAAGATTTCAGCATAAAGCTATGGGACACACACAAATTGGAACAAAGCAGCATGCATGCCTTGAAATGTTTGTGCATGCAAACAGTATTTAAAGCATGATTGCAGATGACTGCCTGATACCTTCATGAGCAGAAATCATAGCACTGCCCAAGCTTTAATATCAGCCAAGGGGGCCTGCCTAGTATTCCAGTGACAGGTATTATACATTGTGTGGCTATTCCATGCTGGCACCCCAGCACTGGAACTCCCTGGCCCTTGAGATGCGGTTAGTGATTGCTGTGAATTAGATGCTAGTTCTTGATGCTGGCTTACTGATATCTTCTCAGCTGAGAGATAGGTATACTTGATGGTTTAATGCATTAAAAAATATTTCATTGATGGTCTATGTATTGTGATTTTACCTGTTTGGTGTTACTTGCCTTGATATCTTCAGATCAAGGGTGGAATACAACTATTTTAATAAACAAACAAACAAGTCCTGTTTGCCTATCTATATCAGGGATAGGAAACCTGCTGACCTCCAGATGTTGTTCTACAACTCTCATCTTCCCTCACCATTGCACGTATTGGCTGGGACTGATGGGAATGGGAGTCCAGCCACAACTGGAGGACCATAGGTTCCTCATCTGTGATGAACATGAATGATTTTCACCCATGATTCCCAGAATGAAAGCAACTCTAACCAATTCCAAGTTGCACAAAAATCAAGTTCCATGTTGTTGTTGTTTATTTGAGGGAAACAGACTACAGACTTACTGTACAATGTGGTTGTGATAAAACAAAAACCGGCATACTGGCTGCAAGGCAAAAACCCACCCCTAAAATCTCCCTGGCTTCTTTGGCTTAAATGTGCCAGAAGGCAACCCTACTTGAGCCCATGTTGTGGAAATGCATCACGATGCGCCATAATAGAGATTAACTGCCATGACTAACTGCTTGTTTGATTATGTCAATGCTCCTGGCAAGAATTAACATTGGTGGTATGTAAATACTACTACCGTTAAAAAAGAATGGCCGCAAAATGAACATTTGACAGCAGTCATAGGCATTTTGGCACAGGGGTTGTGGCTCAGTGGTAGGGCATATCTTTGGCATGCCAAAAGTCCCAGCTTCAATTGCTGGCACCTCCCAAGTAGGGCTGGGAAACACTCCTGCCTCAAACCCTAAACACAGACTGACAGAGGATATGAACTGACGGTAAGAGCTGTTTGACAGTGGAATAGTCTACCTTGGAAGGTGGTGGACGCTGCTTCATTAGAGGTTTTAAGCAGAGGTTGAATGCCAGAGATTCTTTAGCTGTGATTCCTGCATCGCAGAGGGTTGGACTAGATGATGCTTTGGTCACTTCCAACTTTTCAATTCTATGATTCTAAGGCAGCGAGGTCACTGATCTGACTTACCACAGGGCGGCACTACCAGTTACACCAAACAGCGAACATTTCTCAGCTGAAGCAAGAGAAAAGGCAGCTCACGAAGACTCTCATCCATTCATTCTCCTTCATGTTTATGTGCTGATGAGTGAGGAAAGCAGGCAGAGGGCAGAATCATGGAGGGAGCAGGGGATAGGAGCTCCAGCTACCTTTCCTCCTGGTTCAGCTACAGACTGGTGGGCTGTAGCTCAGCAGCAGAGCAGACACTTACAGGAGGTCTAAGGTTTAGCTACCCATATCTCTGCCTGAGATGATCTAAGCAGATCTCAGGAAGACCCTTCTCTATTTGAATCCCCCCAAAGCTGCGACCAGCATAGTACAGCAGGGATAAGGGGGACCTGTGCCTCTTCAGATGTTGTTGGAGTACAATTCCAACCTGCCCTTACCATTGGCCATGATGGGTGTGAGAAAGTGGGAGCGGGAGAATGATCGACACTTGCGGTGACTGCCCTGTTGCTTTGTCCTTTAACCACCACCACCACCACCCCAAAGTAGTTTTTCCTGCAGTCTGAAAAAATATGGAAGGAACACAGTAGGAAGCAGTGTTGAAGGACACCAATTTGTTGACGATGTCAAGTAAATTGAAAGTTTAAAAAAATCAAAGAAACACTAGTGAACAAAGAGCAGCAATCCCAGAATAAATGCTTAGAAATGCCCATTCACTGTCCTTGTGATGTGGCTCTCAATGAGTTCCAGGTGTTTGGACGATGCTGCAAGTCCAGTCACATCTCAGGTGACTTCAGTGGTGCCATCATGGCAGGGCTTTGGGTCAGACATCAGTAGCATGAGTTTGAGGACCCCCAAATTCGACAAGGCTGGTTTACCCCATTTTGAACTAAGGGCACTTCCAGATTGCTGCTAGTTTGAGATTCAGCCACATACTGTCAAATTCAGATCAAATTGTTACAGTGGATTTGGTGCTCTTGGGCAACAAAGCTGCTTCCCCCTTCCCATCTGACTTTCTGCAGGAAGGAAATGGATGGGAAAATACAATGGATAACAAATGCTTGACTCGCTGTCGTATAACCTCCCTGTGAACTTTGTGGAAACAAATCAATGCTCAATAAGCAGGTCATCCAAAAGCAATCAAAGTTAAGAAATCCACATTGCCATTGACAGGGAGCTCCATAAAGGCCATTCAGTCCAGAGTCTAAAATTATCTAACTGCTCCATTGGGTTGCTTCCAGATATTAGGGGGCTTATCCCCTTCCAGTTGTCATACTCTTGCGACTGCCCCAGTGATTCAGAGTGCTGACCACCGTAATGCAGCCACAGGAAAGAGGAGGTCCTCCATGTTCTGATAGCTACAGCTGCACATCAAGCAGCAAGTTCAGCACAGTCATACGTCGGGCAATGCTTCAGGTTGCGTTTTTCAGGTTGTGGGCTGCTGAAACTCAGAAGTACCAGAACGGATTACTTCCGGGTTTTGGCGGCGACGCATGCGCAGACACATGCACATGCGCATAAGCGCCAAATTGCAACCTGCGCGTGCACAGATGCTGCAGGTGGCAAACGTGCATCCTGCACGGATCATGTTCACAACCTGAGTGTCCACTGTAAAGGACAATTAAGGCTTACATTAAGAGGTGCAGGTCAAAGACCTGTTACTATTTCTGCAGCAGGGACCCTGTCTCCAGCAGCACAGAGCTGCCCAATCAGCATGGAAGGGGGACTTTTAAGCCACCAAGAAAAAGTCTTCTCACACTTTGTTCTGATTTGAGCCAGCCAGAGTGAAAGAGGGTGAGTCCACCACTGAGGATTGGCTTGTAGAGTTACACTGGAGAAAGCATGTGGGGAAAAACACTGAGAAGGATTTGTTATGTATGCTCCAAAGCCAAGCATTTAGGAACACTGAAAACACAAGGTGCTTCAGCTTCAAGAGAATGGTCTTCAAGTCTTGTTATGTACAAATGTTCAAAAGACTAAAAGAGAAAAACATTTAGGCAACTCTGAAAGAAGACACTGGAGCATTCCAAAACATTTGCCCATGCATGTGCACGGAAATTAGTAAATCTAGTTGAAACGCAATGCCTGGATATCTGCATTAATCATTGCAATGCATCCGTGTGTGTGTGTGTGTGTGTGTGTGTGTGTTAAAAAAAGAATGTTGTATAATCCTAGAAAGCTGTTAGATGATGTGGCTGTGACTGACCTGAAAGGACCCTGCATTTCTGAATTTGCCACTACACTGTTGCTTACATTGTACCTTAATAGTGTTACAGGGGTTGGGCGCCACCCCCACTCTCTACTAAGCGGTAGCAAGATTCCAGGGGGTTCCAGGCACTCACCCGTGGTTTGTGCTCCTTTGGAGAATTGAATAGGCAGTAGAGATTGTCGTAGCTTCAAGGATTATGGTTTATTCACCTATTTACACCTTCAGTCTGCATGGAAGGAGTCCAGGTCTTACAGCATGGCCATTCATGAGGGACTTGTCCCCCACAGCAGTACAGCCCTGGAGTCCAAGGCATCTCTCCCAGCCAGCCTCCTTCTCTCCAGCACACCTTGCTCTCAAGACCAGGCCCAAGAATCCCTCTTAGATGGGCCACCAGCACCTTTAGTCATGTTAATGCCTCTATCCCAGATGAGGCCTGGCTTGGATAGGAAGCTCAGCCTGTATATTCCCACTGGCCTGCAATCTTCCCTTCAATCATGGGCAGAGCCAAGATTTTTGTTAGGGTGGTCAGGCTTTTGTTGGTGGAGGCAGAACCCCAGATTTGTATTGATTTGTATTGATGGGGGGGGATCTGCCTCCCTCTAACCCCCTTGGCTACACCCATATCTTCAATACTCCAAATAATCAAAATCCTACTATGTATTAATGTCTAGGGTTTAGTGGGTCCACTCCCAAATCTATAACGATAGCAATTGCAATTCCAAACAGGAAGTCCCTTTTTATTTTATTTTTAAATGGCACTTTCTGTTTCAGGAGCTGCCTTCCAACCACTGTTGCTTTAAACATTAAGAGCACTAGCAGCAGGAACTGACACAACAGGGGAAGCAGCCTGGTTTTCAGGCTCTGATAGATTTCTTGCTCACCCCTTCCCTGGTTACCCCCCCCCCCATGTCAGTTAAGAGATCTGTCTTAGAGCATCAGCTCCTCCATTTTGTAGGAGATGGAAGGGGCTTTCCTTTCCTACAAGAGCCAAGAGAGCACAGGTTTCTGAAGGAAAGGGGGCAGCCCTTCCCATCTGTTGATGCTGCAGAAGTGCGCCCTGCTGCCCCCCCTTCACTCTGCCCTCCTAGGCAACCCTCTGGGCTCCTCTTAAAGACGTGGCCAGCCTTGCTTGAGAATGGGAAATGTATTTCTGATTCATTCCCAGGGTCTGCCCTTGCACATGCAAATGTTAAGCTTGCACTGCATTGGTGAATGTCACAACACTGTTAGCAAGTGAGGTTCCCCCCCACCCCCATTAGCTAGCACTTTGTTAATTTACAGTTTGTTCACAGTTCTCTGTCAGCTACCATAACCTCCCTCCCTCCTCCCTCTGCTTTTCTTAGAGAGGTTACACAAAAGTCAGATAAGGTTGCTGATGTCCCATTTTAAAAGGCACGGCAGCCGGCAAAGAACACAAGAGTCTTTCATTTTGTATAATTCAGATGTTTAGCAAAAAGGAAAGAAAAAAAACAACAACTGCTAAGTAATATATCTATTTTCGATTGAACAACACAATCCACATTCCCTTTTTTCTCTTTTCCTGGGAGCAAATTGCCTTACACAGTCTTTGAAAAGAGAAGAAAATGTTTTGTGGAAACAATGAGATTACACCTCTTTCAATGCAAAGGAGAAACACACACACAGGTGCAACTTCCTTACCCAAGCAAAATATTAATGTTCGTTTGGAGACGAGGAGAGTCGCCTGTTTTGCAGGGAAGGTTGCCAACAGCTGGGCTTGACAGGTGCTCCAGTGATAGGCAAACATTTGCCATGTGCAGTACAGTACTTGGATAAGTTAGTACTGAAGAACTATTTTTTCTTACCATATAGATATTAAAGGCTCAGGAGCCCATTTTAAGCCATGAGTTGATAGGGATGGGCGGATATGACAATCCTGCTTTCTCTCAGTTCTTCATTTTCCCAATCTTAAACTCATTTCTCCACATTTGCACATCAGTTTGCAATGTTTAAAAAGGAAATCCTCGTGAAAATTAATCAGCATTCTAGTGCAAATTTCTCCAAATATGCATATTTCTGAAGGCAATTTCACCCAATGTACACATTTTTGCAAAGCCATTTCCCCTCATTTACAATTATGTCCCGTCTTTCCTCCAAGAGCTCAAGGTAACATACATAGTTCTACTTCCCATTTGATCCCCCAGCAACCCTGTGATATGGCGGAGAGAGCGAGTGACCAGCTCAAGGTCACCCTGAGTGAAGATTTGAGCTCTGGTCTCCTGGGTCTTAGTTCAGTGCTCTAACCAGTGCACCACACCAGCTCCTTTCTTATATGCTATTTTCATTAAGGTATACATTTATATGCACACTTTGCCCCGGTTATGCAGTTTGGTACACAGTGTTGGCTGGAGAACTGCATTGCAAAATTTGAAGAAGTGCACATTTCAAAGGATGGCTCTGTTTTGGTTTTCCTATTGTTTCAGAAAAAGTGGGTTGAATATGCTTCCCTTTAAATGCAAACTGAACTGGATTTCTTCCCCATCCCTATGAGCTGGCAACCTGAGCCTAGGTACTTGCAGAAGAAGCT